TGACAACTCAAATCTGAATACGACAAACCAATTTGAAAAACTGGTGTGTGTCCCCTGTTTGATCTTTTTGCAGTGAGTGAAGTAGTGCCAATTCTTCAAGTTGGGAGCATGTTGACATGTTAATGCCTGCATCATTGTTCTTTACCTTGTAGAAAAGCACATGTGCTACATGATGTGTGGCGGTATGGATTGGTTTCTTGTCAGAACCAGACCACCCAGGAGTTGGTGTGGTCAAGAACAACCCTCAGGAAAATGATCGGACCGTGCTCGGTTGAAGGGTTCGATGCTCCGTCGAATCGATTGGCCACGGCACAATGTTTTGGATTCCGGAGAAGGTGACCTGCTGGAGAAGGGATTCTGAAGAGAATCCGTCTGAGCTGTAACCAGGTTTAAGAAGCAAGTGGAATTCAAAACGGTCCAACCCAGGACCAATTTAGCAGAAAACATCCGCATCCACAAATGCTGCTGCGCAGAATCGGCTGAAGTGGTCTTGCTGTTCTGGAGGAAGCCCAGCAAATGCAACAAATGAACAGTGAGTTTGACCACCATAGCCATAGCCTTAACTTAGAAAATGCAGATCCCAAGAGGATTTAAGTTTTGTGGTGAGTTGAGAAATATTGGGGTCCCGAACCCTTGACATTCCGATTGATCTCAAAGGCAACTGGCCAAAGTTTCCGTGAGTTAAGATTTCCCTTTCTCCTGCAACCCTTCTAGCTGCAGGTAAACACTCCCCTACACCCTGGTTGAGCCGATCACATGTCACTGTTGCCCAGTGTGGGCTTGTTTCAATCACGTTCTTGAACAAAAAGAACCACACTTCATGTGCTGCACACAGCAAAAAAGTGCTTGCAAGTTTTTCGGGGAAATCGTGGAACACTGAGGCCGAAAACTCTCCCAATATGAGTGCAACATACCTAAAAACAAACTCGACAAAAAATCCTGCAGGCGATATCAATCGTCCACCGTACGTACAATTTCCATGTTTTCTCCCAATCACAGTGCTTGGTGGACCCCTGCAGTGTTGAAATTAACATGGGCATGTTGAGTTTCTTCCCTGCCAATGTTCGTTATTCCACACTGATATTACTTTTTCCGCCGATCCCAGCCCAGTCACCTTGAGGCTCTCGTGCGAGTCGCCGCTTCTTTTGGGCGACACCGGAAATTGGGTCTCATCCTCTGTCAAGTAGTCGGAAAGCTTTCGGATGCAAATCCTTGGAGATGCCCCACCCAGCACAATCAATGTGCAATTAAACATGTAACCTTTTCACATCCAAGTGAAGAAGGATGTGCGGCGAAAGGTCTTAACTCCAAAATCAACGTTTGTTGTCCCATTGAGTTGCAGCGCCATTATGCAGCGGTCAACATAAACTGGAGCTACCCCGATGCTTCTTTGCCAACAAAATCAACCCACCAATGTGAGTGCGACACTTTCATTACTTACACCGTTGCATCCTCGTGTGACCAAGGTACCGCGCAGTGTTGCCCAAGAGCAGCTCGGCAAACACACAGCAAATGTTTGGGCCTTGGAAGGGGACAAAGACCGGCGGAGCATCGTGGAGGTGAACAACATTTTCTTGGGGAACTGGTTTGTTTACAAACAGCGCCAGTTCCACGTCCATGCTTCTTTAGACGATAGACACTTCACCATGGACAAGTTCAGAAACTATGGCACGGCGTGACACAAGAACCTGCTTGGCAACTATGTTTTCGCCAGCCAGATTTGCTTTGCTAAGCAGATTGTGGTTCCCAATCTTTCATGCCACAAGAGAGGCAGCCGACCTACTGCGCGAAATGTTGGTAACGTCTTCCCACCCCTGATTTTCGATAGTTGGAAGAGGTTGATGAGGCCACGTCATCAAGTTCTGAGTCAGCCGAGTCCACTTCAGGCCCATCGCTTGGTGGTGAGATGCAAAACAAGTCTGGATTAAATCTACATGATGCTCTTTATGATCATAATTCGATGAATTTATCTTGCCATCCTGGCATGCACCCGGAAACCATGTTGATTGAAAAACTCCTAGATCGGCAAGGGAACTTTTGGTCACCAGATTCCTGATCGAGGGGTGTGAAGGTCTCAGTATCCATTTGAGGTCTAAGAGCTCAATGCGTTCAAAGTGCACCCAGGCCGTTGCCCGGTTTGGGAATCGGACGAGTCATGCGAAGAGTTGGCTTGAGGAGATCAGTTCGGGTTTTCCGACCTATTTAGAGGTTTTTGTGGCGAGGTCTGGGGAAGAAGCATGAAAGGTTCCATCATTCCATCCATTTCCATCTAGCACATCAAATCTGACCAGAAGTGCAAATTAATGCAACGAATGTACATAGTATATAATTATATGTAATTATGGCCTTCCAGTTTCCAGTTAAGACAGCTTAAAGCCTCCAAGAACCCCTCTCCTCCAATAAAGATTAGATAAAATAAGAGTCTGTCTCAGACTTGGACCCGACATCCGTTGGGCCCCCATCTTTGGAACTCTGAAGTGCTTCATCCAAAGCCAAAGCCAGAAGTCCAACTTTTTTGAGACTTCAAATCACGAGTCCAAAAGCTAGTCTTAGAAGGTAGGCCTCATCTGAAGGTTGGCATGCTGCTGTCAGCAATTATGAAGACGACACCAAAAAGAATTAATATCCTCGACTCCAACCAGGCCAGGACCACTCCCTTACTGATCGGAGGCAAAGAAAGTTCAGAAGTCATAAGATTAGAGCGGGGATGAACAGCCAAACAAAAAGACCTCTGAAGGGCAACCATCGATGACCAAACACACTGAAAGGACCAGGGTTTGTCTGAGTCTCCAGGGCACCTAGTTCGCCCCATCTGGTCTCTCCGGCACCCAGTTTGCCCTGGGGTGCCCCAACTCTGACAGACCTGTCACAGATGACCCGCAAGTTCACCGTTTGAAGATGTGTGGGCCGTGTACATGCGGACATGTAGAGGAGGTCTCCAATTGTTCCACCGTTTTCTCTGAGTCTATTGCTATGTCGACCTTGTGGTTCTTCCAAAAGCTGCAGTAGCACATCAAAACCGGCCGTCACTTGGAAGTCTGAGAGGGTTCAATTTGGAGGAACAAAGTCCTTGGTTAACAACATGCATAAAGCCCACAAATGATACTTCAGAGGTCCTTTCCAAGCTTCCGCAATAAATCTACCATCAACAACCGTAGCCTTAGGATGTCTTGCATATCCAGGTTCAACCACCGGCAATCCAGAGGCTTTGACGCACATTGACAACAAACACACACACATATATATTTCGCACCAGTCGAACACATATCCCAACAGTGAATGATGGACATCCCATGCCGTCCCAGTGGCCGGGTCTAGTTGTTAGCAAAGATATATGATTATATGATGTTCTTTCCAACATTTTCCAACTAATGGTTGGAGTGTGCTAGATAGGAACATATCATATCAAACATGCAACCATGTAATGGATGCCTGGTCTCGGCTTGATACCCGGATGGGTCAACACCAAGCAACCCAACATATATATATAAATATGAACTTGCCCCAGTGTTGATGCTTCCTTACAATTGGGTCTGGCTGAGGTAGAATGGCGTTGTGGTCGTCTTTCTCTACCAACTCCTTCTGGGGGTGCGCGATCGGTGTTTGCACTACATAGAAACAAACCCATACCGACAGGCAAAATACAACAAACCAATTCTCATCTTGGCTGGGGCAGACCTCAACTCCAAGTAGATGGATATACTTGATTCAGTGGGGGGCTTGTCTTCACAGCGGTCCTTTCATTCACAAACCAGGGTAAAGAGAAGCTATCAGTTCAAGTTGCCTCCAGCCGCAATCGGTGCTTTCAGATGTCAGGTCCAATCCGTTCCGCCTCGCGACCCTCGAGACCTGGCGACCCTCGACCTCGCCTGTGCGAGGACTTGACAGGCCAAGCGATTGGAATTAATGTAGTCGATCAGGCCACTCCTCAGTTTTTTCCCGTCTCGGAACCTTTCACGAAGTCTGGAGCCCTGTGAACATCGACAACAACCACATCGACATCGGGCTGATCCTTCAAAAACTGTTGCACGAACCCCGGTAGATGGGACAGATTCCGTGTAGCTGAGGACATTCTGATTGAGGACATTTGGGTTTTGGTCTTCCATCAGACCTTGGATATGGAGACAGAGCCCCACTCCGCTGGTTTCAGATTTCACCATGTCAGGCATGGTCGAAGACATGAAGAAAGGGACGCCCCGCCCTACTTACAGGAGACTTTAGGCTTCCTGTCGGTCTTTCACCTTGTTTGCGGCCGCAACAAAATCAACAAAGGACGTGTGAAGAATATCTGACAGAGGCACGTTGTCCCCAATTTTGTTTGCTTCAAATATACTTGCATTTAACGCTTTTATTTTTTTAAAACCAACTTTCTCTTTGATTCTGCCTCAAGAAAGCTATCGAAACAAAAACAGTAGATGAACACCCTTGGTTGAGATACTTTCTGTCTGCATGTTCACCGAAACCAACCTGCAACAATAACACAGGCTCGCTTTCTTGACCCAGCAACTTCCAGCAATTCTTCTCAGCGCGGCGTCCTAAGACTTGTGGAAGAATCACCTTGGACATGCTGTGGAACAAACCGCGGAGAGGTTTTCAGGTATCCTCCAGCAGGTGCAACAAACCTAGAGAGTTCTTTTGATTGAATAGGATCTAGGAACTCCATGAGCAACCAGTTTCAGCTGGAGAGTACAATCAAAATCCTTGACAAACACTAGACTTTTGTGGACACCATGTAGAAGGCAACATGAAGGAGAAACCTCGTCCCTGGCTTTTTGTACTTTCTCAAAAATGAGGTCAGGAAGCCTGAAGATGTGAATAAAACCTGCACTGACGGAGAGAAAAGGAACGTAGGAACACCTCCAGGTGAACCTGTTGCCACAATGGCCCAAATCCTGCCACGGAAGATTAGAGGGGCATAGCTTATGATTATGGCATATTATGGCTTTGGAGCCTCCAGTTGACGGTTCCAGAGTTCTCCCTTTGGACTTGGTGAAACTTCTCTACCTTCGACCGTGTCTGCCTGCTGCCCAAGTGGCCAGGTCGGTTTGGCAAGTCTTGCGAACGCGCAAAATGTCTCGCACTTGTAGCAGCGTGGCCACGGTCAGCCGATCCTGAGGGCTGCGAAAGCTGTGAAAAAGAGACGTGAAAAGCGCGGTGCTACAGTTAAGGGATGTCCAGGATCTAATAAGCTGATCCTGCAGTTTTATCCAAGATGCGGCTTCATCCTCGCAATTGCTCATCTTGTCAGCCAAGATGAAGATCTTCCTTGGGCGAAGATACGGGACCGACCTACCCGGTGCGAACCATCATCAAATCGCTGAGGAACACCATGCACCAACTCAGTAAATGGAAGGGTGCTCAAGACATGGATCGGTCACCCCAAGACATTTCGACAACATTCAATATCGTGCTTTGAACAACTTGTCCTCCAGAAATTAGTGGAACCCTCGAACTTGGTGCTCGGGATGTGGGCTCCGTTCTATGAACCTGCTCCGTTCCACGCTGCATCACCTTCTCATCCTTCTCTGCGTTCAAAAAGATACATCCATCGCTTTGGGACAACAGAACTGGCGCCAAGCTTCTGGGCCTTCTCCAAAGGAAGGTCTTCCAGCTTGTATCGCGCACCCAAAGCACCTTCCACATGCTCCACCTCGCTGACACAAACGTTGCTCGCTTGGATATGATCAGTCTACGTTTGATGCTGCTCATCGACCCCTTCGACTTGGGAAAAGGACCGACCCCCTGGACTTGGCAACCAATCGAACAAGGTAACAAAGAAAAACCCACTGATGATGTCTAGCATAACTTGATAGCCACTGATGCTGTCTCTGAAAAAAATATGTCCATTCAATGTCCATTCACCATCTCTCACTCAGGTTTTGACCAGCAAAAATAAGGTAGTGGGACACATACAAATCATTGACTTTGACAGTTCAATTGATTTTCCGTCGTTTCGATGTGTTCGGACCAAACACAAAGAAAGCGCCTAAAGTATCCGTGACGGAATCATCTCTTCCATCAAGGCCCAGACTTCTTGGTGTTTTTTCATCTTTACCGGAGTGGCAGAAAACATCGGTCTCCTAGAATATCTTCCAACCCAACAAATTATGTCCATGGATTCCCATAAACTATGCTGGAAGGTGGTTTGTAAACATACCCTGTTCTCCATGATCTTCTCGACTTCTTCCGGCGAACGCAGCTCCTGTCAGTTTATGCCCCAGTCCGTTCTCCGCGGCCACGTGGCAGTGACGTTTTGGTACTTGTAATTGAGCCGGACCTGGTGCTTGTGGTGTGACACTAGGATCGGGGATCCGTTTTTAGCGTCTTCACCTCGTCTTAACATGGATCAGGTTTATTTGCCCATCCCCAGAAGGACATGTAGAAATAGGACCTGTTATATAGTTTGCTGACTCCCCAAAGCATGGGGATTGTGCAGTGTTCGGTTCCGTCGCAATACGAGCCACCACTGAGAAACAGTCTTCTTCTCCCTTAGAAAGAAACAAATTAGTCAAACATCCTCCACCTCAGTCCTGTGTGGAGTGGATCGTTCTGCCGTTCTAAGTTTCAGTCTTCCATTCATCACGCATTGGGTGTCCCACCTGACAGCTGTCCAGGTATTCCTCCCGCACATCTGCTTCTTGTGGGGAGTAGATCAAGACCTCATGGAGAGCAGGATAGTGTGACTGTGGATGGTGGGTGGTGATAGGCTTATTGTGACCACCAACACCCAACACCTGCAGCCATGACGTCTGACATCGGCCACTTAGCACAGTTCAGCAACAAATGTGTGCTTCTGTAAGATGTAGCACTGTGGCACTCTGGGTACGCAGTTTACTTCTTGGGGTACACTAAGGCTATGTCATCCTATGTCTCACCAGCTACACAGCATTGGCAAGATGCCCTCAAAGCCATCGACAGCATCTACTAGACCAACCGAAGAAGCGATCGTTTTGATCCTCAAAAAGAGAGGCCCCTGATCCAAGCGATCAAACCCAAGGGCCTCAGAAACGCCGAGACCCGAGCTCGTCAACATGCGACGTTTGTTTCCAGTGACGGTTTGGTCGTTGCCATGCGAGATGCGTGACATGAAAAGGTGACCATAGGCGACCGACGCTCTGAAGGCGTTTTCAAGGCATGCGAGTTGTGGTGATTCAACCCCACAGAACTGCGCCATCTCCCGAAAAGTAATTGACATGTCCTCAGAAACGCTGTCCAGAAATCTGTATTATACAACCTATAACCTATAAGAAAACTACAAACGTAGAATTTCCCACCCTGACACAACTTCCAAACCAATTGTTGAACAAAGCATTCTTCAAGACCGACCACAGAATGGGACAGCTCGGAAAGTGTTTGGCTCTTTGATTCTTTGAGACCCTTCAGCAAGTAACTTCCCTTTCTTAGTCTTTGGTGGCAGAGAAAACAAATAAACAAGACCAATATGATCCAACATGGGTGTGTCTTGAATAGTTCCACCCCCTGGAAGGAAATCGACCAGTCTACCCACCAGCCAGGGCCAGGGTTTCTCCCTATTAACATACATACCCAGATCATCCCATATCCCCTTCAAACCACCTGAACTCTTCATCACGAACATCTCCGTCCCGTTCTGACTCCGGTGGCTCCGGACCGTGGAATCCGCGCCGACGGCTTGGTCCACCTCATGCCTTGGACACGGACTCTGTCGAAGAAGCAAAGGGGTGGCAACGAAGAAATCAGACTTACTTTAGCTTGGATCAAGCAAAAGCACATTTAAACAGCTCTATGCATGTGGAAGCACAGCTTTTGTAGGTTCCTTTTGGCATCGTTTGTCCGTTTTGGTCAAAAGCTGCATACACCCGTTTGATTTGTAGTGTTGAATCACATTTTCCCATGTCTCAGATGCTGTATCCCTTGCATGTTACAACCAAACTTCAGTGCGTGTCCAGTGTATTTATCTGGCCAACAAACAACGTACGTTTGGCAACATCCTGAGAATGAGCTTTCGCGACACACCTTAACTGGTCATGAGTGTGGTAGACAAAACCTTCTGTGACCCCATGCACGACTCACTATGGAAAGCTATGGCAGCAAGCCTCAAGCTGGTTGACTCATTGAATTTTCAGATGTTTCATAATTTTCACTCTATGCTGGTCGACTGCTTTTCCCTGAACTTCTCCTCTCAAATCTTCTCTTCTTGTGCCTTGGAAATAAGAATCTTCAATGGGTGTCAAGACTTTCTTTTGGAAACCGCCCTGGCTCAACTGTTGGCACTCCTCTCCGCAGGATCATCGTTTTAATACAGCTAATGAATGCTAATGAGCTAGTGGTCCTATACACTCGGTAAATGATGTTGAGACCCATCTGCCCATCTGACTAAGATCTAGGATCTGGCTCTGCGATTCTTGTATTTTGCCTGAAGGATGGAGAAAGACCTAAACTGTAGGGATAGAAGTTCTGTACCTGATGGCTTCAGGCAGTTCTCCCATTCATCACAGCATCGATCTGCTTCTCCGTCAAGAATGGCCCTCATGACAGGCTTCCGTCATCCCGCGATCTGAACAGGAAGCCATCCAAATCCACATGAACGTGAGAAGTTCTCCGACCACAACCCCAAGAGTCTCTCCAAACAGCGACCCCTTACGTCCGCCAGATCTGCTCGCCGGCGCTCCAAGGTGCACGATGGAGCCGATGCCCTCGTTCCAACCGATGATCACCGTGATGGTCTCTTTGAGTGGCGTCGCCTGAACAGGGCGCACTCGAAATGGCTGCGAATCAGGTGATGTCAGTGGCTAAGATGCCACGGATCTCTTTTTGCTGAGATATTGATAGATATGGGTATATGAAATGGGTTTTGGGGGGTCAATTTTCTTTGGGATTCACCATTTTGGGAGGGTCTCTTTGGAATTTGCAATGGCTCACCTCTATAAGTTCTTAGGCCCGCTGAAGCGCATAGACACCTATGCAAGCATGTCTCGTGAACTGGCACTGCCAGCATCCGAAGTTCCTCCATGGCAAACATCTGTAACAGTAACACCTGGCTGACACTCAAACCACATTGCCAAATGCTCAGAACCCTGGATCCTCTGCTCCTTTCTCATCTCCGACACAAATATGCCCCGCCTGATCCTTCATGGTGCCTGGCGGGACAACGCTGAGAGTATTTTGAACATTTCAAAGACCAACAACGGCCGAAATTGTCCAGGGAAGCCAAGCAAACAACCAAACCGGTCGCACGTGGTTTGATCAATTCTGGTTGCCTGGCACAGCGACCCATGGAAAAGTTGGGACGCCGCCTCGGCTGAGGCTGGAGAGGTACTTCCATGATATGCCGTCAAACACATGCGCCACGGGCTGGTGGCCAGGAGATTCTAGAATTAGACTCAACCGATCCCTAATTTCAGTGAATGGCCCCCACGACCAGGCCAAGAAAGGTCCCCAATACGAGAAGAGCCTGTGTTTTCGTAGGTGTCCTGCAATTTTCAATCTTTTTGGTCCACCTTTTTGGATTTGGTCCTTTGTTGCAAATCTGGCTCGGCCTAAGTTGAAGCCACTGGAGGGTGAATTTCCACATTTCCGGCACCTCAATCCCTCCACGTTGCGAATTGAATTTAGGAAAACGGATTTGTCTTAGCAACTAAACATGCCCCTCCCTGTGAAAAATGCTGCCATAAACAGGCCACATACTTTTTTGAACTATCCACCACTTCCATGTGACCATGCTACACAGCCGCCGCCAAAGCAGCAGAGCGCTCTACCGCATTCTTGTCAGCTCCAGCCTCGAGCAACAACCGCACCAGTTCCAAGTGGCCATTCCCGGCAGCAAACATCAAAGGGGTTGTCTTGTGTCCCGTTGCTGCATTCTTCACCGGCACCACTTCCTCGTGGCCATTCTCAGCTGCAGCCATCAAGGCTGTTGCCGCCCTATGTTGTGACACTGCATTCTTGTGACCAGCCTCAAGCAACATCAAGGCGGTCGCCCCATCTTGATTCGCTGCATTCTTGTCAGCTCCAGCCCCGAGCAACAATCGCACCACTGCTAGGTGGCTAAAGCAAGCTGCAAGAAACAAAGATGTTGCCCCATGTTGCCCCATTTGAGGCTGCCGCATTCTTGTTAGCTCTACTCTTGATCAGCAACTGCACAACTTCCAAGTGACCATTCTCAGCTGCAGCCATCAAGGCGGTTATCCCATGTTGATTTCCGGTATTCTTGTCAGCTCCAGCCTCAAGCAATAACCGCACCACTTCCAAATGACCATTACGAGTTGGCCTCTTCAGGCGCACACAAGCCCAAGATTACCAACTGCAAACTTGATATGCCTGACAGGCATATCATCCTCTAGCTCGCCCCTTTCGTCACTTAAGAGTCTTAGTTGAAATCTTGAACATCCAGTCTCTGTGGCAAGGAGAAGCTTCAAATCTCCAATAGATTTTCCGCTCTCCACGATGCAACCGGTTCCTCCTCATGAAGCCGGGTGCGAACGGTGCCTGCTACGGTTAGAATCTCTATTGCTCCAGCCCTAGAGGAGGAAATGGTTCTTGATCCAACATGGCTGCCACAGACTTTGTAAAGCAAACCCACAGTGCAGGAACTCAGGCGAAAGGTCTCACAAGTAGGGTCTCATTCACAAGTAGAGTCCCTATCACACGGTATCACAAGGTACGAGGTCTCAAGCAAGGTCGGAAAATCCGTCTCACGAGGAAGTTTCAACAAAGCTCTCACAAGAAGATCACAAAAGGAAGGTCTCGCAAGAGGGAACCGCAAGGCGTCACAGAAAAGATGCAATGCCATGGCAGGACATCTGGACCAACAGTTGCGCTTTTGCTGCTCATCCAACGAGAAGCCCACACACCTTCTCTTTTTTGGCAAACGGCACTGTTCTTCCCAAGCATCTGGGCAAACAAAATACAACATTCCAAGCTTGATTAAAAAGAAAAACTCAGGGTTCTCTAAAGTAATCATACCTATTCATTGCCGAGCTTTATTGCTTCCCATGATTTCCCATCCTTCGCTGATGCTCTGATCCGCACCGGCCTGGTGAGACAGTCCTCTTCATCTGATTGGCCCTTCTCCTTTTCAGCACTTTCTCTCGAGTTCCTCACGCACCCAGAATGGGCACAAGGCAGCGTCCAAACACCCTGTGAGTGCAACCAGGTGGAGACACTGCTTGATGGAAAAGGGGCTCGTTCCCGGTTCAAGCGTCATACTATTTCCTTTGCATACCGCGGAGGATACAGGGTGTGGAGGATACCAGGTGCCTCGTCGCATTGAAAGGACACGTAAGCAGTTCAATCAAATCCATGTGGTCATGTGGAGACCTTCTTGCCAGTTGTTTGGTTCACCATTTATCATATGTGAACATTCACATGTGATTGATTGGCGCCGGGATAGCCAGGATACATCGCTAGGCTTACTCTTCGTGCCTACAGGTTCTCCCAAAGGCCCAATGGGTTCTCACACGTTCTGACTCATCTGCTCTGACCCGCAATCCTGGTGAGATGCTCTTCGCCAGAGTTGAAGCGTCCTTCGGATCGGTGCAGAAGGGTTGGCCATCTCGGAACTCAAAAACGTCTCAGACATTCTCAGACCACAATAATTACTAGTCGCCTCTTGTTACTAATTGTACTATCAAGGCAAAAAGGGATCGTCCTCCCTTACACCGACCTTGCAAACCACGTCTCTCTCAAAGATACGGAGAACCTTGTGGACTTTCAGGAGGCATCCCAAGATCTCCATGATTGCAAAGAAGGTACGATGGCTCGTGCTTCTTTACACTTTACATGTGTGACTCGGAACAGGCTATCAAAATCCCATGTCCACATGGTCCCATGTTGCGCCTAAGTGTCCTTGGGAAAGGATTGTCATCCACGCATCGCACAGGTTTTGGTGTTAGCAGAACATCCTTCCCTCCACATCAGCACAAAGCAGACCTCTGAAAGGCAAATCAACTGCTCGTGCCCCGAGAAGATGTACTCCATCGAAGGCACCAGCACCGCCTCTCTGGTCGGACCAAGAGAATTTGATCATGCGCACCATTGGGAACCGAAACCCATGGCAAACAAAAAGGGTAGTGACAAACGCACAATGAACAGTTGGGTTACTCAAATGTTGTGTATCCGCCGACCCCACACCGTGGGGTGAGGCGTGACTGTCGATGTTAGCCTTAGCCTTAAGCCTTAGCCTTAGCCTTATCCTTAGCCTTAGACCTAGTCCTTAGCCTTAGACCTAGACCTTACCTCCCCTACCCCTCCGGACCCTTGTTGCAGTCACGAAATCCCGCCCTGAAAGCGACCTGAGCGACCCGGGAATTGTCCAAGATTCTGCCATCCCAATTGATTTACATCTTGGGGCACCCTCTCGACCCGCGCGGGAAAATAAGCACGGTCCAAAATGGTCCTGGGCTCGAATCCCGGGCTGGTCGCGGCATGGTCCCGGCCAATGCCCTTGCTTTTTCGTAGATTTTGTCACGTTTTCTGTTTTTGCAGTTTGGCCTGCGAGCGGTCCTCGGCGAAGCGATGACGTCCGATGGGACATCTGGGAGGTACCAAAAAAGTCGACTTTTTGGGTACCTGCTTTTTGTCACGTTTTCTGTTGGCTTATGAGATTTTCAAAGGCTTTTCTGGCATTTTCCTAGGAGTGCTCTAGGCTTTGTCTTTTTGGGTGCCTGCTTTGGTGGTGCTGGGTTGGGTCTAAATTCTTGGGCCATGATATCCTTTATGGGGACGAGGGTTCAGCATTACGGGGTTCATGCAAGAGATGACGTCCGATGGTAAACCTGGGAGGTACCCAAAAAGTCGACTTTT